TCTAGGGCCAGCCAACTCCCCTCAGGCTCAACTCCCCCGTAGCGGTAATTTAGGCAGGCGGGCGAAATGCTCTCGGCTGCCGAAGGAAAACGGCTAACGGCCCGATACTAGTTTGGCATCCAGGGTACCTAGTGGTCGGTTAACGGATTGTGGGGAGTGGACGAAAGCTAAAACGGCTGACACTCAGGCTAAACGTGACCTAACATGGCCTACACATAATATTAGCTTTCAAAGCCCACATCTGGAAAATTGGTGTAAAATTTTTTATCAAACTTGTCTTGATCAATGATGATTTCGCAAACTAGAGATCTGCATTTTTGATTGTTTAGCCTAAAGGGCTCTTGGGATTAGCTTTTCTTTTTTATCCGTAAATGGCCACAACTCGTTGTCTGTTATCAAACCGAGTGGCTTAACCAAGCGGCTTCAAATCAGTTATTTGTTGTGAATGATTGACGTGGCTGAATTCTTTTTATTCATTTCAGTTCTTTTTTTATTCATTTTCAGAATAATAAAGGATAATCATGGCACAACAAATATATATTTGTTGTGGCTGAATTCTTTGCCAGATGCTTAAATAACCACTCATGCAAACAAAGCAGTGGCAAAACCTGCTACCCACGTCATCGTGAGCACTCATAATAGTTAGTACGGCTTCAGTACTGTAGGAAATCTGAAATATTTCAAGACTGTGTTTTTATTTTTAAATTAGTGGTTGATTGAATGTATTTTAAGTGATGCACTTTGAAGTAGAGAGAGAAGGCCTCTGTGTGTGTGTGTGTGTGTGTGTTTGTGTGTGTGTATGCATGTATGTACTTTGTGTGTGTGTGTAAAAATTAAATCAAAGCTTATCTTGGGGTTAAATATAATTTAACAGTGACTATCCCTGCAATTTGGTGCATTTTGGTTGTTTCCTTTCTTTATTTTCTTGAAAAATTGATATTAATCATTTTAACTCAATCTTCTACGTGAATTGCCCACAGTGGTTTTCCAAAAAACTTTTTTCTTAATCAGCCCGACATGTTACGAAGTTGAGCATGCGGCTCCAGATGTGCCTGTAGCCCTGGCGAATGTTTTTGTTCATAGCGCCGTACACGATCGGGTTCAGGGCACCGTTTAGCAAGCCCAGCACCTGGGCAACAGTGAAAGCTTCGGCCGGAACTTTGCTGGAGAAAATCACCATCACTGTCATAGGCATATTACACAGCGTGTACACCGCAAACAGCAACATCATCATTTTAGTGATCTGCCTTTCTGCGGCGCTGTTCGACTTTTGTGAGCTGTTGCTTGGGACAACGTGAGCCTGTCGTTTAGTCTTACCAGTCTGATCTGACAATATGGTGGCTGTTAGGGTGGTGCCTTTGGGTTTGTCTGGCTCTTTGCAATCAGTGCCCTTTTGACCCTTGATACTTTGTAAGGATTTTTGGCCTTGTGTTTTACCCGTGCCAGATGCTGGAGCAACCTGCACAATGGTAACTTTGGGTTCACCTGGCTCGATACGGTCACTGGCTTTCTGTTCGTCGTCACTTGATGAGGAATTTTCGTCCCCCACCCACGCTACACCCTCCAGGTTTCTAGCAGGCTTAACGATTCCCGTGCTTGCGGAAGGGATGGCGACTTCGCCAGCCCTGCGCGAGAACTGCACTGCCAAACGGTTTGTTGTTGGGCCCTGGTCGTGAGCGTGGACACGTTTGTTGCTCTTCCTCACATGATTTTGGATGAGGATGTAGAAGGCCAGGGCGGCGATGTACGGGAATATGATGTTTAGAACGATCGGGAGAACTTTTGCCCAGAATTTGTCAGAAGTTCCCAGTGAGCACCGTTTCACCTTTGGATCGACTTTTACTTCCTCCATGAGGAAAATAGGCAAGAAGGAAACGATGGGAATCAGCCATGTGAGCAAGAGCATGGCAGTGAGGGCCTGCTTGGACTTCAGACGTGTGCTGTTGGTACAGATTGTGAAGTACCTTTGCAGAGCGATACACAACATGTGCCATAGCGAAGCCCCCCATAGCACAGGCGAGGCATAGCCTATCAGCCAGCACAGGGCCGGCGGGGGCTCCCAAAGGGGGTTTAGTATCTGCTGGATCCAGTAGGGGGAATAGAAGGTGCTGAAGAGGATGTCTGTGCAGCTGAGGCTGACCAGGGGCACGTTGACCAGTTTTCGTAGATTCGAGCGTGTCCAGATGGCAAGTATGCTGAGGAGGCCGCCGACAACAGTCGCAACGATGCTGACTGTAGGCCACAAGGAATGTTTTCCCGTCAGTATAAAAAATCTATTAGGCCAAACAAAGTAATTTTTTATGGATGAGGTCTGCGCGCATTGATTTGGGCCTGTTCCCAGAAAAAAAGAGAAATTCCGCTTCCTGTAACTATGACCAAAAAATCACAAGGGTGACGCAAATCATAAGATTAACGTGAAATATAGGTGCAAGAAACAGGACAGGACGATAACTGCTGTTCCGCTGATTTATTGCTGTTTTCATGAGAAACGAAAGACTTGTTGGTTGTTACACTGTGTTCTCTCATTCAATTTGTGTGTCCTAATATTTTTCTTCTCTTAGTAATTTAGTATTTCAAATCTATATTATATTAGACATCTTGTTTTTTTCAGCCCTTCTTGTTTTTTTTTTTGCGCTCTCGCATTTATTTTAGATTTACGGTCTCCAGAGGACGTCGTCCATGAAAATTACTCGGTGTGGCCTTGGGTATGATTCAGAGCCTGATTTATTATTTTCAAATTAGAAAAAAATGACGAAGTGGGCAAATCTGAAAACAAATTGGTGTTGGAAAAAAAGAAATGTAGAAAAAATTATGAAGACACCACGACCATGTTACAAGAAAATAATTATGTAAACTTACTTCCATTCACCACAACCAGAATGTAATCCCCAGCCGTTGCCATGGCAATGATGGGTTCTCACCAGCCTTCACTGTCCCTCAGTTCTGGTTTAGAGACGTTAATGTCAAGAGTTATTGAAAATGACAATCTACACGAGAAAATGTCAATTATTTATATTTACAGTTTTGGCGCAATAATCTTTTGGTAGATAATATCGCTTTAAGACCTTTATTGTACATTTAGCTCTGATAAGCTTATAAGCTAAGTACAGATAAAGCAGATTGAAGTAAGATAATAGTGCACATGATGCCAGAACATCATAACAACTAATATAGTAACTATAACGTTACAGACTTGTAAACTCCTTTGTCCAGTTCCTTCACATGTGAATAGAGTTGACTTGTGCTATCTTTTAGTGATGCTGAAGAAGAGTGATGTATGTTACTCAAAAAGTCCGCAAGTTATCTCTGTTATTTATTCAGTTGTAGAGTTGGCTATTGATTTGGTTTTGAAGATTGTTTTATACCTGGATCATCTAACCTAAATTATCAACAAGATGTCAACTCCTATGTACTGGTTTAACTTCTTGCTTCTAAGACAGTTGTAGATGTGTTGATATATGAACATACATGGAGCTTATAACTCATAATACATTGTACATAGTTTATCTAGTTCCATGAGGAACACAAGTTCTATTCACGTGAAAAAAAAATAAACAGCAACTGTTGCTCACTAGCCTACACCATGCCTTTCTACAGGAATACGGATTGTAGAATTCGGCAATAAGGAGTCTCAGTCTGAGTAATATTGGGCAGGGGAGTCATTCCGTGGAAGGTTGATTCTTTCCCTCCAAACTGTGCGGCCAGTCAAACCCTAAGGCGGGCAAATATTGTCCTGTATCCAGCCAGCGTAGTTTGTCTGGTAGAGACTGCATGTAGTTGCTCAGCATGATTGCTTAGGTGGTAAGTGCAGATTGAAGCACAAGAGGTACCCACCTGTCACAGGGTCCAAAACTGTCGGTTCAGAACCGAAATCTGCACCAGTCACGTCGGAAAGTGCTGTCAGCAGAAACACTCCCTGCGTGGAGTGACCGATCTTCTATGTAAGCATCCAGAGATCAGGCCACACCAATGTGATTCATTGGTTCTTGTTTTTTTTTTTTTCAGAAAAAAATATGAAGTGACAGGGCGAAAGAAATAAAAATAAAAACCAGGCCTAGGCATCCTCTGATAGCCCCAAATGCTATGATAGGAGCCATGAAGTCAACATACCAGGCTGGTTTATAATGGTTTCAAACAATGAATTTAAAGCTGCAGTTACTTTTAATCAAACCACTGCATTGATAGATGGAGAAACTGAAACAACTTTGAAAAGAAGGGACTTCCTTCAACTGTTGGGGCCAAAATATGAGCATTTTGGAGTTGATTGAGAGCCTGAAATGTTTTTTTTTTTCTTTTGAAAATCAGAAAAAAATGAAGCGGGCAAATCCGTGAACCAACTTTACAAATGAAATTGGTGTGGCCTCATGTATTCCTGTCGTTTGGAATCTGTTTATGAGGCACTTATTTTGTGCAGTCAATCTATTATATATTAATATAGATTGACTGCCCAACACAAACTAAGTGCCTCATAGATTCCAAACCACAGAAATACCTGCCAGTGTGGAATGCCCAGACACTACAAAAGGGCTACGTGTAGCTTTCTCTATAAATATATCATTCTTCATGAAACCCATGTGTAAGACATATGACCATACACAGAAATTGAATGATATTTTTAAGACTCAATTGATTTTGGTTTTGCCTTAAACTTAATGTTAGTTAATGCAAAAACAAGCCCCAAGATGAGTCCTTTACACATATATTTTCTGGGTGGTACCCTAATCAATCCAGGTCCTTCCAGTAACCATTTTTCGTCAGAATTTTTGGCATTTTTGCTCCTTTAATGTTGATATACATTGGGACAGTGTTGTTTCAACTTAGTATGTAGATAAGTGACTAGAATACTGACTTAAGTTTGAAAAATTAATCTGGTTTCCAAGCCCTAAAAATGGCACTGGATGCCTTAAATGCCCCTAACAGCAAGAGATGGCGTGGCACAGGCTAATATTTTGTTTTTGGATTGTTTTTGTAATTTTTGGTTTGTCCCCATGCACATGTAGCCAGAAGGCCGGTCCAGCGTACACCCATACAGTCGCATACAGACTCCAGACTGCCATCTTGGATGGGCTGGGACCTCTCTGTCTAAAGGTACGATCATGATGCAAATGAAGACAAAAAAAGTATTTTTAATGTGCAGGCACTTGTATTTAAGACCGGTATCTTAATAAGTTAAGCCTAACATTTGTAAGTTATATACAGCCAACTATCTTTAGTGGTAAACTGGAAGGACTGGGACCGCTCTGTCTAAAGGTAGGATGATACAAATAAAGAGAAAAATCTTTCATGTGCAGGCACTTGAATTGTACTTAGGACCAAGACCTGTACCTTAATATCAAGTTTGTCCTATTGTTTGTGAGTTATACATTTGTACATGAAGCCAAATATCTTTATAGTGGTTATCTGTTGTCTTTGTATGATCATGTACATATCTTTGATCTAATTTTAGAGTTTCCTAGTTTTCAAGTAAAAATTATCATTTAGGTGAGTTAAATTTTAGCTATCTTTATATCTAGTTTATTCATTCACATATAACACATTGAATTTCTTAAAACCACATTGTAGTCAACAAATATGGTTGGCCAAATTGTGTGCTCTTTCTTGTCAAATAAAAGAAAATGATAGAAAGAGGCAGTATCTACAAGTATGTTATTCTGTGTCGATGAAGGTTAGACATCCAGGTAATACGATATGCCAAAAAACAGTTACTCAAGCAACTGGATATGATTTTGAAAACGTCAGACGTTTCAGCTAGTATCCACTAGCTTTCGTCAGTGACTGAGAGACCAGAGGGGAAAGCAGGTTTATATACACAACCTGTTGATTGATATGCAAATAAAGTGAAGACAAATTTTTGGAAGTCGAAAAAGGAACAAAAGTCAGACAAGTCAAGACAAGATGATGCAAATTAGTCTGAAAGCTCCTGTTATACAGGACAGGAG